TGGTCAGCACGCGTTTCCGGTCACTTCTCGCACGCTTGCTCACGCCTCTGTATCTCTCTGTTGCCCTGCAGGTCTTTATAATACACGTCGTCCTCCGTTTCATGAATCGCCTCGTTCTCTCCTCGTACGAACGTACGTTTGCGACTTCTACGTATTAGCCCGGGGTACCGATAACCTAGTACCTACAATGGCTGTTGTAGGAATAGGCAGACAACGCAATACTCCATCGTTGTACCATGGCTGCAGATGAATTAGCCAGGGAAAGTTGAGGGTTGTAAATGAACTGCAGGGCTTCATGACCACTCACAATGGTGAAATGAGTACCATAAAGATACTTGTGCACACGCATGACAGCCCAATAGACAGCTAGAGCTTCTTTTTGAGTTTGGGAATACCCACGTTCGGCAGCCGTGAGTCTGTAGTAACATTATTTTCACTGTTCAACACCATTCCTTGGACTCATGTAAAGACCCCATTTTGTTTTATTGCCCTCCGTTTCTAGAACACATATGACCTCGAACTTGACACAATTTCCGGTGAGTTGTATCGTGCGCTTTGCTCTCTGTACGCTGTCCACTGCAGGTCACATTATACTACAAACGCTCGTACCCAACTTCCTTCTCAATCCGTACTCGCTCTGGGAAACGTTCGATAAGACAGATCTGTTGAATTCGTGAACGCGTCGTAACTCCGACCCGACTTAGCGGTACTAAAAGTCTGCGTGAGATGCACAGCACTAGATGACCATTCTGCTCCAGCACAGCTCCAATTCTAACGAGCGATGCGTCCGTGATGACGGTAGAATGTAATCGTGAGGAGAAAGGACGTAAAACAGTACTGGTAGATAAAAAGGAAAGTAACTTCCTCAAAGCACGTTCATGGACCGAAGTCCACTGAAATGTTTGCTGTGATTGTAAATCCAACAATGCAGCAGATTGAGTTGAAAAGTTAAGAATAAACTTGGAATAGTATTGTAAAGAACTAATTAAAGGACGAAGTTCATGGAATGACTTGGGAGAGGGAGCATTAGTCAACGAAGAAAATCTATTAGGGTCAGGACGAAATCCGGATTCATCAACCAGATAACCAAAACAAGAAATTTTAGTCGTAGCAAGCGCACATTTATCAGGGTTAATAGAAACATTATGAGAACGAAATCTTTCAAGCAAAGCACACAAACATTCGTCATGTAAGTGTCTGCTAGGCGCATGAACAATAATATCGTCCTGATAGGCACATACACCTTGTAAGCCAGAAATGATGGAACTAATAGTAGCTTGAAAAATAGCGGGGGAAACACTGAGTGCAAACGGTAGAAAGTTGTAGCGAGATAAAACAAAAAGTGAGTTAATAGTCATGAGTTCACGGGACTTTTCATCAAGAGGAATTTGAAGAAATGCATCTTTTAAGTCTAGATTAAAGAGAAATTTGGATCCATGAAGTTAGTTCAGAATGTTTTCTGGTTCGACGATGGCACAACTGGACTGTTTCAGCCGTCCGTTCACAGTGATTCGATAATCCCCACATCCTAGGAGTCTTCCCGTCACGTTTTAGTAGAGTAACAATTGGTGTGGCCCAAGCCGAAGAATTTACGGGTGTCAGAACTCCCTTGCTTACCATTTCATCTAACGCCCCTTTTACGGGCTCACAAAGTCCAAGTGGGATAAAGAGACGTTTCATGAACACCGGTGAACCGGTCACTTCGAGACTCACAGGAGTCATTTTGATACCATCCTTTGCCTTGGAACATTCAAGTACTAAGTGACAAAGGTATGATTGATGGGAGTCAGACATGGATGAAAATGACAGATGCATACGATTCATACAATACAAACCAATTATAGAAATCTCGGAATTAATAACCAAAAACGGGCAGTGAAATGTTTGTGATTTATCGTCTTTAAGAAGCAGTTCGCAGGATCCTAAGACAGGCAAAAAATGACCGGTAATTCCTTTACCTGAAATGTCTGTTGGGGAAAGTGCAACTGGGGGGTTTAACTGACGAAATACCTTGATGGAAATTAAAGAATGAACACTACCGGTGTCCATAATGAATGTATGGAGAATGGAGTCATTAATGATGAAGTCGCGAGTAATATGGCGAGAGAGAAGTGAACTGGTACTGGCTAGAGTTAAGGACTGTAAATGACAACAAATCTTTAGAGGAATGGACAGTCGTACGTTTGGTACGACACGACTTCGCACTTTTACAAACAGATTGTATGTGGCCAAGCCTACCGCAATTGTGACACTTGGCATTTCGAAATCTACGGGACAGCCGCGAATGTCGTTGACCACAGGAATCACGCTTGTTCCATCGTTGAATCCGTTGGTCATTGTGGGCCGGAGAACTAATGTTGCTTGGTGTTTTCGAGCCCTTTTCGAAAAACCGCTTTCGTCGGAATGGTGACTGTTTGGAATTGCTGGCATTGAACAACAATTTGGGTTCACCACAAATAATGGCTCGGATGTCTTGCTACTGTTCACAGACTGCTGTAGCCTACTGAAATGTGCAATCGTGCATGAGCAGGAGCTTTTGCTGTAATTCCGGGCAATTAATACCGGCAATTAATCGAGCACGTAGCTTGGTATGCAATTGATCTCGGAAGTTGCAACGAGATGCTTGAGTCTGAAGATGAAGAATAAAGTCACGCACAGGTTGGCTTCCACCACGTGTGAGTGAATTAAATTTGGCTCGTTCAGCAGCTTCGAAATTAGCCGGCTGTAGATGCTTCAGCAGCAAGGTTTTCAAGGATTCATACGGTAACGATATAGGAGAGTCAGGAAATGCCAAATTCTTCAACAATTAGTATGCATCCTCTCCGACGACCGTTAGGAAATAAGCCGTTTTGCGTTCTCCATCGGGTCCTTTCCCCGGATTACACCAAATCTCGAATCGTTCAAGATAGTCTTCGACTTCGCGAGCACCGGCGTGCATATTCAAGTTCTCCAAATTACAGGACTCCATTGGTTCAAAATGACCGCGTCGCCAGTTGTTGTGGTTCATACTCGGACTAGTAATTCGTATACGTTTCGGATTCCGCGCACTAATAGTCCGACCCAGAACTAGGACTCGAAATGGAATCAGAAGACGGAAATCAGTGACGGAGTGAAACTGTAATAAGCGGAAATTCGGACTGTACAAGGACATTCTGCTCAATATAACAAAAGAGTTCATAGCTCATGAGCAATCACCACATCCGCCGCAGCTTTCTGAAATCACGGCGGGCTTTGTTGAGTAATCGTTCAAATATTCTGGGTTCTTCTGTACTATTTTCGACATTTGTACTGGGATGTAATTCCTCTGGGAAAGACTCAGAATTTAAAGGATTAGTAGGTTCACAAATAGTATCAGGATTGGGCAAATTACAAATTACTTGGTCTACATGTCTGCGA